CCTCTGACAAAATTTAGGCGTCTTTTTCTCTTTGCAATATAAAGTTGTTGACTATCAATTGTATCTTTGCCTCCTTTGATTGTGTGTTCTGCCAATCCTAGGAATAAGTTTGTTGGTACCAGCAGGAGCCATTCCTCCAGGACGAGCCTATGAAATGTATGTAACTGTCCATCGGAAGGACAACATGAGGTAATGAAACTTAGCTCAGTTGGTTGGATGACTGGTTTGGGGATGCAGAGTGATACCTACAGTGTGGGTTCAATTCCTGTAGTGGCTGAGGTTACCATGAAGGACTATCCTACTCAATCTCTCCCCTTGCCTGAGGTGTGGTGACCCTCAGGTTAAGCCACCACAAGTGTCTCTTTCTAATCAAAGAGGAGTCCTATGGTCTGGAAAGCAAACATTATAGCAAGGCAACAGATTTTTGTATGTTCAACTCGCAAGTCCAAAACTGATTTACTGGCAGGCAGAGTCACAACATTGCATACATACAACATATAGTGTCCTTAAAGGTAAACGCTCTTAAAGGCAATGTACACAGGTAGGGTCTCACTGGGTCCTCATCTTCAACAGGGACTAAGAAACTCTTTAAAACATTTTCCTCATTTTTTTTCCCACTTTGCGTTCTCTGCTCTGTCACCTCCAGCTTTCTCTTCTCTCTTTCCAGGTGGGGTTTTGTGTTTATTTTCTCTATTCTGTTCACAGCTGTGGCTGCAGGAGGAGCTGGAGGCTGGGAATTCAGTGGTGAAGATCTCACCTCCTGACTTCCTGAAGCCTGTCCACCATCCACAGAGCACGGATTTATGGATATCTCTCTGTGATGCTGACAATGCTGACAGATCTGCAATGCCAAGAAATCAGAGTTGTGACTGATAAAATAGAGTACCTGAGTTGGATTGGATCACTACTGCCAATGTCTAATACATTTATATCAGGACTTGTTTCTTTTATATGGTTATAAGACATAGAAGCAAAATTAGGTCATTTGGCCCATTGAGTCTGCTCTGCCATTCAATGAGAGCATGGCTGATCTGATAATCCCCAACTCCACTTTCTTGTCTTTTCCTCAGAACCCTGGATTCCCTTACAGAGTAAAAATGTCTCTACCTGTTCATAATCTCATTCTGATGATGCCTATATCAATGCAGGTTCTAAGCCACCTCTTAACCTTTAGCTCCAGAAATTGTTGGAGAAAGTCTGTAGGTCAGGCAGCATCTGTGGAAAGAAAGAAGAGTCAATGTTTTCCAGTTCACTGACCCTTCTTCAGTAGTGCCCTTTTTAGTGTCCTCGTTTCGATCCTCCTGTGGCCCTTGGTTGGTTTCTGTGGTACAGGAAGAGTCCCCGATTGGTCTATTTAAGAACTACTTAGTAATTAGAAGTGATTAATAAGCACACCTGGACCATAGCTGAACTGGATAAAATCTTCATTTGGAACCAAGAAGAAAGCATCAAGCTAAAAAACATTGCAGTTAAAAGATAGATTTTGATAGTGTGGCATCATCACAGTGAGCACCCACTATCATAGGCCCTCAGGTGTTTTCTGATCAAAATACTCTTTCGGCAATTCAGTTGAAGATTGTTGAAACTAAAAAAAATGGGAGCACTTAGTTCAAAACACCATATGTTGTCAGTTTTCTCACACAATCCTCCTGTATGTCATCGATTAATCAAAGGAGGCCTGAGGGAACTGCCTTTTGTCTCCATCTCACAGGTGGTTTTGTGTTTCCCCAAAATTCCAAATCTAACAACACGGTGACACCAGCTCCACTAAGAAGCTAGCTTCCCATCAGTTGCTCAGGCAGAATCTAGGGAAGGCCAATAAATGGCAGCATGGCCAACAATGATCATTTCTCACTAGAGTTGACATTCTAATCGGAAGCGGCCTCAGAAAGAAAAATGATGTGAATTGTGCCATATTACTAACAGGATCCAGACAAATTCACTCAGAAAACATTGAGCCAAATGCCAGCTGTTAATAATATAATAGCCTAGAGCAGGAGTAGGCTATTCAGCCCTTTGAGCTTGCTCTGCCATTTGATATGATCATGGCTGATCTCATCTTGGCCTTAACTCCACTTTCCTGCCTGCTTTTCATAACCCTTGAACCTGTCCCTAATTAAAAATCTATCTCCTCCTTAAATTTGTTCAATTTCACACTCGGGGTGGTGAGTTCCACAGAGACACGACCCTTTTGAGAGAAGTAATTCTTCCTCATCGCCGATTTAAATCCAACACCACTTAATCTAAAATGATGACCTTTCATTCTAGTTTGCCCCACACAAGGAAACATCCTTTTCTAGATCTACTTTGTCAGTCCCCTTTAGCATCTCACAGTCCTCAATTAGATCTCTCCTCATTCTCCTAAACTCCAGAGAGTATCGACCTAAACTGCTCAATCTCTCTTCATAAGACAAACCCTTCATCTCTGGAATCAAGCTAATGTCTCTGGAATCAATCTAGTGAAAGCTGTTTTGAATAAATAAGCAATAAACGAAGACTTTGAGAGACACTAGTAAATCTGCAGGATTTTCCTTTGTAGCATTTTGCCATCTCTAGATCTTTTCCTTTAAGCTCACTATCAGCACTTTAACTTTCAAATTGCATTTTACCATTCAACTGAAACTTTCGGATTAATGAGCCCATGAATAGCGACAATTAAGATGTCACTGATTCTCAGCCACCTGCCCTGCTGCACTGACAAGCTCAGGTTTAAAAGCAACAAGATTGACACTTGCAATGCTTGTTTTTGGTTTTCTTTATCCCCATGTACCCAGTCCCTTCCTAACACACTTATGAGGACAACTGTTACATAGTGGAATGCATTTGTGTCTGTCTGCCCAGGCTCAGAACTCTGTGCACTACTAATTGGCCACTGGTGGGCGATTTCAACTGGGTAAATGTATACCGTGTCTTTGATGTGTCCTTATTTTTATAATGAGGCCCCAAGTCCTTGCTGTAACAGCACAGCCGCCTGGGACTAAAATTAAGATTGATAATACCAACGATCTCTTACTGAAGCCACTCATTATGTCAGGAAAATGGTGTTTACAAAGGCCAGCTTGGGAGCTCACATTGTTTTTGTAGACACTGGCTTGCCTTAATGCAGAACCTTCTAAAGTACTAAAGAAATGTTCAAAGGTGCTATACAGATGCATTTTTTGACAGAATTTGACTCTTGAGCCACTGAAGTAGACATGAGGGCAACAAATGTGTGGAAATCTGAAAAATGCACAGAGAATGGTGGAGAAACTCAACATGTCTGGCAGAATCTGTGGAGAGAGAGAAAAATGTTAATGTTTCAAATCTTGTATGACTCCTCTTCAGAACTGAAAGGTGGATTTCTATACAATTGACAGAGGCAGAGGACCAGTGCAATAGAGAAATGGCTTGATCATGGTGGAGAAAGAAAGAAAGGAAATCCAAAATGAGTGTGAACTAGATAAAGAAAAAAATCACAAAGAACTGTGGAAATCAGAAACACAAACGGAAATTGCTGCAGAAACTCAGCAGGTCTGGCAGCGTCTGTTCAGAACTGACAAAGGGTCACTGGACCTGAAATGTCAAAAAAAAATTACCTCTGCTGCCAGACGTGCCGAGTTTAACCAGCAATTTCTGTTTTTGTAAATTAAGGTGTAAGCAAAATACTAGGAGCAAAATAAACAAGACACAAACATGATACAGCTATGGGGCAGCAGTGGGAATGTAAGAAAATGGCAAACGGGTATAATGCGGTCAGTTTCTGAAGTTATGGAATTCAATTTTGAGGCCTTAAGGCTGTAAAATTCCCAAGCAGAGAATGGAGTGTTGTCCCTTGAGCTTGCGTTGTGCTTCATTGGACCATTGCATCAGGCCCAGGACAGAAATATTAGCATGAGAGTACATTGTTTCTTAAAATGGAAAACAGCTGGAGGTCAGGGTCATTCATAGAGACATACAGCACGGAAACAGATCCATCGGTCCAACAAGTCCCTACCAACCATACCCACCTGCCTGCTCCTGGCCCGTATCATTCTAAACGTTCCTTATTCATATACTTATCCAAATGTCTTTTAAACGTTGTAACTGCACCTGCATCCAACCACTTAATCTGGAAGTTCATTCCACACACTCTCTGTGTAAAAAATTGCCTCTCATATCTTTTTTAAATCTTTCTGTTCTCACCTTAAAAATATGCCCCCTTGTCTTGAAACCCCTCACCCTCAGAAGACCTTTGTCATTCACCTTATCTATACCGCTGATGATTTTATAAACCTCTATAAGGTCACCTCTCAACCTCCTATGTTCCAGTGAAAGCCTATCCAGCTTCTCCTTATAACTCATCCTGGTGAATCTCTTCTGAATCCTCTCCAGCTTAATAATAGCCTTCCTATAACAGGGCAACCAGAACAGGACACCGTACACTAGAAGAGGCCTCACCAATATCCTGTACAACCTTAACATAACGTCCCAACTCCTATACTCAAAAGCGGTTACTCAGTCTGTGTTTATTCTCGCCAGTGTAGAGGAGACCACACTGTGAGCAGCGAATGCAGGAGACTAGATTGAAAGAAGTACAATTGAAATGCTACTTCACCTGGAAGATGTGTTTTGGGGCCTTGGACAGTGAGGACAGAGGAAAGTAAGCACTGAAGTAGCATTTTGATAGATGATCCAGAAGCTTGGTCAGCAAGGTCGGCGTCTTAAACAAGGAGAGAGAGAAGTGGAGAGTTTAAGGAAGAAATTCCAGAGTTAAGGTTCGAAGCATTTGAGGACCCGAGTGCTGACGATGAGAGGATTAAAATTGAGGGTCAGAAGAGGTCGGAATTGGCAGAGTGCAGAGATCTCAGAATTGTAGCGCTTGAAGAGGTAACAAAGTTAAAGTGAGTGAATAAGGCTGAGGAGGGACACTGGTGTAAAACCACTTTCTATCAACTTACATCTATTAAACTGACACAGGTATTACACATCGGCTGATCAAAGATCAATGCAATTCTCCAGAAATTGGAATGTATGGAAATTCAAGCTTGACTTGATTTCTGATACATGACATGCAAAACAGCTTGAGAAAAGCCCTTCAACGTGACAATGAGTGGAAATTGACCAGATGCCTTGATCTCACATGAACCATACTGATGCTATGGTCAAGCAACAGCTCCATTTTAAAATTCTCGCCCCTGTTTTCAAATCAATCCATGGTCTCACCATCTCTCGAACTCAATCAAACTGCATTGACCCAACGACTGAGATCTTCAACTCTTGACAATCGCCCAATTCAAATCTCTCCAACGTTGGCCATGATATATTTGGCTGCCTCAGCCCTAAGCTCTGAAACTCCCTTCCTAAACCTCTCCACCTCCTCCCTCCTGTATAACGCTCCACAGAACCAACCTCTTCGACTTTGCTTTTGGTTACTGTCCTCATGTCTCCTTATGTGGCTTGGCATCAGATTCTGTTCGACACTGTGTCCAGGATGTGCCTTTGGATGTTTTGCCACATTAATGGCGCGATATAAATGCAAGTGGTTGTTACTATCGTTCATAACCTGTGTGTCTGTCTTATCTGTAGGCCATCACTAGAGGGCAGTCAGACATTGCTGAGCCCGGTGGTGAGCTGTGGTCCTGCTGGTGCTCTGTTCACCAGGCCGGTGGTCTTGTCAATGCATCACTGCGCTGAACCCAACAGTGAGAACTGGCTCATCCAGCTGAAGAATCTGTCAAGCCAAGGAAACTGGGAGGTGAGACATTATCCACTCAGATGAAAGAAAAATCACTCATTATGATGAAGTCATTTTCCAAACAATTTCCTGTTCCAACAGAACAATCATTTGGTTTCCTGAACCTCTGCTCCAGACTAAGGACTCACATCACACAGTTTCATTTTATGCAGTGATATAAAGAAAGATTTGCATTCATACTTCCTTTCTTACAAGCTCCGGGCATCCCATATACAGGAAAAATATCAACAGCTTGGAAGGGAAGAGGGTGTAGAGAAATTGACCAGAATGGCACCACGGTTACAGGACTATTTTTTTAATTCACCCATGGGATGTTAGTGCCTCTGGCTAGGCTCACATTTATTGCCCATCCCTCATTGCCCAGAGGGCAGTTAGGAGTCAACCACATTGCTGTGAGTATGGAGTTACTTTTGGGCTAGACCAGGTAAGGATGGCAGATTTCCCTCCCTAAAGGGCATTACTGAGTCAGGTGGGTTTTTCCCCTGACAATCAGCAATGGAATCATGGTCATCATTACTCTCTTAATTCCAGATTCTTTATCGAAATCAAATTCCAGCATCTGCAGTGGTGAGATTTGAACCCAGGACCCCAGGACGTTAGCTGAGTTTCTGGATTAATTGTCTAGCGATAATACCACGAAGCCATTGCCTCCTTCCTTCTAGTTAATCTAAATTAATCCAGCAGACTAGTGAGGCAGGGATTGGTCTCCTCTCAGCAGCAACGGTTAAGAAGAAATTTAATGGAGATGCTCAAAGTGATGGGACTGGATTTCACCAGCTGGAAAGCTGGTCCCGACTGGACAGAGTTTTAAAAGGCCTGTCCCACGATGATAACACAACGGGCAGGGCTATAGCGGCTAAAGGAGTAGCGCTTCTGCCTGTCCATAGACTGGGGAGGGGGAGGTCCCAGCAATCCCCGCACAATCAGGACTCAATAGTGGGTCTGCAGGGAGGGTCCAGGAGGAAGATGATGGTGGCAAGAGAAAGGAAAGTCCATGGTTTTAGGGCAGAGAGGGGCTTAGAAAGCCAGAGGGAACAGGAAGTCTCAGGAGGGGAGGTGGGCTGTCACTGGGCACACAGGGTTTGGGCTGGATGGTGGGGATGATCCGATATACACAGGGCAAACCACCCCGACCCCAAATGAAAAACCACTTCCCAGTTCCCCCCACCCTTCCTTCCTGACTTTTCAAAAGAGCCATGTCAAAAGTGAGCTTTATTGTCTGATTGGCCTGTTACTGCCCGGTGCTTTGTGGCAGAGCATTAAGCCTGTGGAATTCTCTCCCACAGACAGCAGGTGACACCAAAATGATTTCAGGAAAGGGTCAGATATAATTCTTAGAGTTAAAGAGATCAAAAGCTATGGAGGAGAAAGTGGGAAGAGGTACTGAGTTGGATGAGCGGTCATGGATCATGCTGAATGGTGGAGCAGGCTTAAAGGGCCAAATAGTCTACTCTTGATCCTATTTTCTATGTTTCAGTCATTGAGGTCCATAAATGCTAATCAATTGGGGGTGACGCGCTTCAAGAGACAGGGCAGCCTGTTACCCACCCACCTCCCCATTGTGTGAAGAACATTTGGGCAGGAGGAGGGAATGGGAGACAGCCATTGCTGAGGAGCTGGGAGGTTGCAGAAGGACTTGGGCAGGCTAGGGGAGAGTCCACATAGAAGTGGCAGATGGAATACAGTGTGGGAAAGTGTGAGGATATGCACTTTGGAAAGAAGAATAGAGGCATAGACTATTTTTGCAATGGGTAAAGGCTTTGGAAATCTGAAGCACAAAGGGTCTTGGGCGTCCTAGTGCAGGATTCTGTTTTGGTTAATATGCAGGTTCAGTTGGCAGTTAGAAAGGCTTATGCAATGTTAGATTCCTTTCAAGAGGGCTAGAATACTAGAGCAGAGATGCATCGCTGAGGCTGTATAAGGTTCTGATTAGAGTTTTGCAATATTGCATTTGCAATGCTGTGAGCAGTTTTGGGCCTTGTATTTAAGTAAGAATGTACTGGATTTGGCAGGGGATCCAAAGATGGTTTCCAAGAATGATCCCAAAGATGAAGGGCTTGTCATGATGGGAGCAGCTGAGGACTCTGGGTCTGCACTCGATGGAGTTTAGAAGGATGAAGGGGGATCTGATTGAAACTTGCACAATGCTGAGAGGGCTGGATAGAATGGACATGGGGAAGAAGTTTCCACTAGTAGGAGAGACTAGGTCCCAAGGGCACAACCTCAGAGTGAAGGGACAATCCTTTTAAACTGAAATGAGGAGGAACTTTTTCAGCCAAAGATAAGGGATCTGTATAATCCATTGCCACAGGAGGCTGTGGAGGCCAAGTTGTTGAGTGTATTTAAGACAGAGATAGATAGTTTCTTGATTAGTGAAGGGATCAAAGGTTACAGGGTTGAGAAACATATCAGCTGTGATTGAATGGCATAGTAGACTCGATAGGCCAAATGGCCTAATTCTGCTCCTATATTTTATGGTCTTACCCTGGGAAGCTGATATATTCAACGTGCCCTCCCCCCTTACCCAAAGCGAGTCTGGGCGAGGTTGGGGGTGGAGGGTGAGGGAGGTGGTATATCGGGGAGTGGGGGAACGTGACTCAGTGAGTTGTCATAATTTGGAATATGCTGCAAGAAAGGGCAGCAGAAGGAAATCTACATCTTCAAAAGAAAGTAGGATAAAGACTCGAAGGCAAAATAAGTTGTAGGACTGTGAAGAACAGGCAGCAAGGATGGTCTAATTGGTAGCTCTCTCAAAGAGACAGGACATATATAATGTGCTCAATTGCCTTTTTTAGTGCTGCATCAGTTTACAATTCTGTTAATGTTCTTCAAAGCTGATAAAGTAGTTAGTTTTGAATGGTAGTTACTTGCAATGAAGAGTCTACATTGTTTGGCCAATCAGTCTAAAGCTAGGTGATAGGCACTCTATACATACAGAATGGAGGGAACCTATGTGCTTAGTGAGTCTCACAGAACCACAGGATTGTTCTGGCACAGAAGGAGACCATTTGGCCCATCGTGCCTACACTGGCTGTTCAAACGAGCATCGTTACCTAGTGCCAATCTCCTGCGTTTGCCCCATACCCTCACACATTATTTCTATGCAAGCAATAATCCAATGCCCTCCTGAATTACTCAACTGAGCCTGCCCCCACCCCCACTTTTCCTTGCATTCCAGACCCTAAAGTATTGTTTTCGCACATCACCCTTGCTTCTTTTGCAAGGTGAAAGCTGACCTGATGGCATGGGGACAAGGACGAGGTGTTGGAGTGTGGGGAGGGTGATGGGGAGCAGGGACAGGGTCAGGCTGGGATGGAGTCATTGGTGACAAAGCTGCGAATGTCATCCCATTGTGTGGACAGATGCAAATTGACATTCAGGTGTTTGCTGAGAGAGGTATTTAATGGTGCAGAAGAAACTATTTTAATATTTAAGTGGGAGAAACATACTGCAAGCTGCCAAAAATAACAGTGGTGTTATTAATAGACTTAGTGAGGAAAGAAAAATGTTCACAAGTGCGTAGCATGGTTTCAAAAGGCATTGAGGTGGGAATTTTTCATTAACAATTTTATGATTATTCTTGTATTTTAATAATATTTTAGGTAACATTTGCTGAAGCGTGGTTGTTTTTGGCAGTCTCAAGTTTCTGTATCATTTTGTTACTTTTCTTACAGCTGTTTTGATTTAGTTGGACACCTGCCCATTTAAAAGTCCATTTGAGATTGAAGGTCTGTTGGGGCTGATAGCCATATTCACTGCAGCAAAGACAAAGTAGGGTCTAAACCAGCACCAGAGATGCCTTATTGAAGGCTGGAAAGGATCCCTTGCCACAGTGGTAGTGTCCCCACCTTTAGACATGGAGGCCCGAGTTCAAATTCCACCTGTTCCAGTGGTGTGCCTGAGCAGGTGGATAGTCTATGTTCATATCTTCCTGAGTGTATCGGAGTAAAGGAATATAACAGATTGACATCATGCAAGTTTTCACCTTCATGGACTGCATGAACTTTGCATTTGTCCAATTCAGTCTTCTTGAACTTTATCCATTTCAGTCACTCTATCATTGTCTCTCAACTGCTGAGTCCCAGTTACTAAAATTCTCGATTTCCAATTTGACATTCATGCACACTTCCTCTTTACAAAAGCCATATTTCATGTTATCAGGTTTTTGTCATACTTACAGTGTGACATCTTTTTCATCATATATTTCTGCACTGGAACTTAAAGTGGGGACTGCCGCTTTACAATGGACACTGGCCATTTACAATGGAGACTGGCCATTTACAGTGGAGACTGCCTGTTTACAATGGAAAGTGTCCAGTTACAGTGGACACTGTCCATTTACATTGAGGACTGTCTATTTACAATGAAGACTGTCCATTTACAGTGGAGACTATCTGTTTACAATGGAGAGTGTCTATTTACAAACAGGACTGTCCATTTACAATGAGGACTGGCCATTTACAACGACGACTAGCCATTTA